TTTGGTGATATTCTCACTGACACTGAAAAACCATGACTTTGGTCTAATATCTAAATGGAGCACACCATGTTCGTGTAAGAACTTCAGGGATGTGGCCATCTGTTCTGCCACGTCTCTCATGAGACGTGAGTTGTCTCCCATAGCACCATAGCCATGCAAGGACGGCAAGTGTTCATGCACTATGCATGGAGTCGGGCCGTCCACTAAGAAGTACAGCGGTACCATATACAATGCCTCCATCCAATCAACCTCCGGGTTCTCCGCAAAGATGTTGCTCAGAATCTTCAAGCCACGCAGCTCCTCCTGAAGATCATCCTTTTGCAGATATACTGCCGCCTGAGCGTGCTTCTTCAAGATACTGTGCTGAACAAGGTACAAAGAGGAGGAGCGGCCCGTTGCCAAAGGCTCTTTGCCAATAAATTCCCAAGATCCGATGCGTATAGCATCGCCAAGCGTTGGTGCAGCACACGCCAGCTGCTCTTCAGGAACTTGCAAACTCTGGATGACCTCCTTGCGATGTTGTGATTCAGCCGATGCATCCCCTTCATAAAGAGCCTTCTCATCATTTGACAGCTCATGCCATAACCGCCCAATTTCAGAGATGACCTGTCGATGCTCCCTTTGCTTCAATTTGCCCCTCCCAGGGAATAAAGACTCTTTTTGCCTTGGATACTCATGTTGGACGTGGAGAGCGTAGGCTGTCCGCTTCGACGGTGCCATGCTGCGGACGGCCGCAGCAGCAAGATTCTCTGTCCGTTTCGCCGGCCGCCGTTTCACACCGAAGGCTGCATCCTCTGGCTGCTCGGGCTCCAAAACATGCTCTGGCGCCCGTTTTCCAGATACGCGTCTTGGCACCATGCAACAGGCAGAGCACTCTGGAATCAACAATTAGTTAAGTAACCGGGCAGGACCACTAGAATCTCAAGGGCCGCTGGAATCTAAAGTTCAGGCAATTTCGCAAGGGCCGTTGGAATCTAAAGTTGAAGCAATCTTGCAAGGACCTGGCAACCAAGCTTTCAATTCCGACCCGTTGCATTGGACCTGAATCTGGGCAGTGCAATGTAGAGATTGTCGCCGAACCCACAAAGAAGTATTGTAAATGACCACTTTATGAATCATAGTTATTGGCAGACCACCCTACCAGATGACCAGTGACCACTTGACAAGCATGATACCATCACTCGAGCTTGAGCGTCAGAGTGGGAGGCCAATTGTCGCATGGGACAGGTTAGCTTAGCTTCTTGAAATGAAGCAAAACTACCCGGGCTTGCAACCGGCAGACAAGAGGTATCAGACATGTTCTTGACAAGTCTACTCAATGGTCTGAAAACTCTGTGCTTTATGCGCCAGCCTGCATTCAGGTGGAAGCAGCAGTGAAAGAAGAAGGCCGGACCTGACAAATCAATTTTCTCAGCGTGTTTGGGCTGCAAGCACAGAATGGGCCGGGAGCCTAGCCCAGAATGACAAGAATAGTTCGAAAGCAAAGCTTGTAGTTTGTCATGGCCAGAACCAAAGCCCCATCACCTCTGAAGACCTTTGTTAAGTGTGACAGCAGCATCACGTTCACATGCACTGACCCTCATCATTGCTATTCTGGAAAGGCCTTCTGCTGAAAGCTAACTTGCAAATTGAAGATTGACAATCGGACTTTTTAGTGCGAAGGTTTCAGACGGCAACTGCAAGCGTGACCTATGCAAAACTGAAGGAAGGTCCTGGGAGATGTCTGTACGCAAAACGACTGACTATGCAATGCCACGGGTTAACCCAGCAATGTAGTCAGACTCGTGAAAAAAACGGAGAGCCTCACTCAACCTCGAACCTTGGGCGCTTCTGGCCCTGCAATGGCTTGCTTTCCTCAGCAGACTTCATAATCTCTAGTTTGTCCTTGAGCCCAGCCAGGCGTTCTTCTGCACGAAGCACTTCATCTTCAAGCTCCGAAGCCTTCTTCGCAATCCTGTCAGGGATGCATTGCCCGGCTGACAAAGTATGAACACCTGATACACTCATTCATGGTGGCTCCTGGCTTGGGCTTGTGGCTGCACTATGTCCGCCAGGCTTTGCTGCTTAGAGAGGCCATCCCACGCATTGTTGCCGATGTATGTGCCCGCTTGCACGGCCATGCGCATCAGAATCTTCCCGATGTCGGCTGTGGGAGCAGCAACATCATCTGCACGTCTTGCGATGATAAAGTCCACAGGGGCGTTGACCTTGGAGAAGGAGTCCAAGCTCAGGTTGAAGACCTGCCCCGGCTGCCCTTCCCCATGATGGCTATTGGCGAATGGGCACGAGAAACAGACGCAACCAATCAGCTGGGCCTCCTTGGCCCTGGGGATATCTTCCGCCGGGAGAATCAACTCGAGGACACACATCTTCTTGGTCATGTTCTTTGCAAAAAGCCCTGCCATGCAAAAGGCCTCACAACGGTTGGGAAACAAACAAATCCCTGTCCCCACCAAACGCATTCGCTTCGGTACGTTCCGCAACATGTACGGCATCAGCTCGGTAAAGACCTTACATCAAGCTGAACATGAAGCAGCATTCTCAGCATGCCGAAATTCAAAAGAAGCCAAAGTCCACATTGCAAGGGAAGCTTGGGCCCTCGCCAGGTTCTGGTCCCTCCAGTCGGGCTTCTGCAGCTGCTCATCCCCTGTGTCCAGCATCGCATACAAAGTCCATGTGGGCTTCTTTTCGTTTGGGTTCGCTGTGATGCTGCTCCTCCAGGACTGGGCACACATGATAACACTGCGGACGTTGCAGGACCATTCCTCATTGCTTGTGCCTTGCAAGCCCACCATGCATCCGGGCGCAGTTTCCTCATGCACGCCCAGGTGAAAGCCCGAGACTTCGATCCCTGATTCGACGAGTCGAAACGGGTAGCCAATTGCAGGCGCCTGGATAACGAGCTCGAGGACGGCAAAGGACATGTCCAAGTGGCCGCCCTTGACGGCTCGGTCGTGAGCCCCCGAGAGATTGAAGCCCTGGATGCGCCCCAGACGCATGCAGGCTGCCTTCGCTATATTATCCCGGAAGAAAATGACAACAGATTCAGCAAGAGGACGGAATCACAAGAATCAAGACAGCTGATATCAAAGCAGAGATGCGTAGCACGCGTCCATTACGGACATGGACAAAGATAGACCGCCTTGCCCGGATCCACGCAGCAGCACCCTCTCAGGCCTGAGGTAACGGATCTGTGACACCAGCTCGCGCCATTCGCCTGCTGGCACGGCATAGTATGCGCGAGCCATGGAGCCCAGACCCTAGAAGTACTGTTGCTAAGTGAAGCTCGAAACTGCAAAAGCCTGGCGGATGTGGCTTCCGTTCCGGTAACTGCAACACCACATCTCTCGGTGCCCTGGCACACTCTCGCCCCTGTCGAATGTTTGCCAGCAAAATCCGACACAACACTGACAAGCCCACCATAGCCCATAGCCGCCACCTGTGGAAACTCACATCAAAGGCCCAGTCAATGTCAACCACATCTATTCATCATATGCGGCTGGAGTATATAGTCTCCTGATGACCATAGCATCTACTTTGGATAGTTAAAGGCTCCGGACAACATGCCAGGCGACCGGCATCCGATGCATTGCAGCCTGCAGCCTCGGGATCATCAGATTATCGGGCCAGCGATTGAATGAACCCTCAGGCAGTGGAGAACATTTGTACGCCAGAGAGGATGTGGCCAGCAACTATGATGCAACTGCCGTGTGTGCACTGCATGCTGAGTCCTGCAAGAACTGGACAAGTAGCCTCTCAGAGCAAGCAGGCTAAGCAGGCTGCTCAAGCTGTTTCATGCGGGCCGCAGCGCAAAACTGAACGATGTGAAGGGTCTGAGCAAAAGGGGGAAGTGTAGCTCGGAGTGGCAAAACGCTAGACGGCTCTAGCTTCCACGGCTACACAGCTGCTCGAGAGGAGAAAGTTCCGCCCGCCATGTTCGCATGTTTCAAACTCGAATTGTGCATTGCGGTAACTGCACTGGACGGAGCCAACTTCCTCTCATGCTGTCGCGCCATCACGACTTAGCCGCGACGGGCCAAAAGTACATCAGGCCTCGCTGTGCGGATCGCTTGCCGCACCATCATCATCATCATCATCGCCGAAGAGTCCTGCCACTTGGCTCTGGGATGCTTGATTGTCCACCCGGCGGTCCTCTGATCGAACTGGTGTTGGCACCGGGGAGGGCAAACTGGGACTCGTCGCCGGCGTCTCGCCAGTAAGGGACGTTTCTCGTTT